GACATTTTTCTAATAAGAGATTATTGGTGGCAAATCTGACAAGAGTATTCAAATCTCACACATATTGTCTAGTGACATGAATACATACAAAATAAGTAAACAAAAAGAAAGAAAAAGGAAAAGTCGAAGTGCGAAATATTGAATACAATAATAATTGGTCTCATATGCATACATGTAGACAATATAGCGTGTGAATTAGTTACATAAGAAATCGATCAATTGTTATTCATTTAATTTTCACTCTACATGAAATTAGTCATAGACAATCTATCATTACGATTAGTTCTATTATGCATATCTAATGAATAATAATTCGTTACATTCAAATAAAAATAAATCATTTTTCAATATATATGACAAAAAAAAATCTTCAATGTTATTGTCTCGAAAACTTCAAAGAGATATCAAATTTAAAGTATCTGTCAAAAGCGATTACTTGTTTATAAAATAAAACATAACAACAAGCTGGTATTATGCCGATATCGAAACAAGTTTAGAAAGATCATTCATTTTCACAGTAATCTGTGAAAAAAAAACGTGTTCATATTGCGATAAAACAAGCCTGATAGGCATGCGTTTCGGTGACACTTTAGCTTTTTTTTTCTTCTTATATTTTGATCGATAGATAGATGATGATGATTCTTACATAGATAACACGTCGTTAGACTTAACAATATTAAAATAACATTTTTTTGTAAACCAGTCAGCTAATCATGAATAAGAGGCGTGTTTATCTTTGTTTTCTTTCGAAAGTAAGAGAGGAAAAAAAAGAAGATAAATATATCTATATCGTAAGAACTGTATATTCAAATCAGTCAGTCGAAAATGTCTATTTGAACAAGAAAGAAAACTTTTCTTGTTTAATATATATATTGGTCTAGCTGCCTCTTACATTAATAAATTTAAAAAATGTTCATCTTAATTGCTTTTGTTTTATAATTCAATGCAAAGTTTACGAAGTACTTTTGGTGACAGGTAATTCTTCATAAGAAATTTTTTGTTAATTTTATCACATATTTTTCTTTTACTTTCACACATCAATCTTCTTCTTATAGAAACAGATGATTCAATGTTAGCATGATATAATTAGAAATATTTTAATGAATGCTTATCTTGAAGTCATTTCGAATAGAAGAAAATAGTTCATCTTATCCCCACTTCTTTGATTTCTTATATATATATATGTGTATTGAAAAGTGTTAGATTGTGTTAATAGCACTCAGAAAAAGTGCAAATGAAAACAACATTGACGTTCGCATCTAACGTTCATTTTTCCTTTTTTTTTCTTCTTCTTCTTCGTTCAACGAACTTTTCTTTCCCGAGAGAAAAGGAAGAGAAAAAAAAAAGTTGAATAGTATTCGTCATTGCATCAGTTTCGTCTCTCTCATCCTTTTCTCTTCTCTATTGAACATATACATTTATAAAAAAGAAATTCGTTAAGTTCGATAGCCACTTTTTTCTTCATCAATCGAAAAAAGAATAAGATTATAATTTAATATGAACTACCTATGAATACATTATTTGATATCGACCATTGGCTAAATATGAGTACTTCAGCTACTAGTTGGAGTTTTATGTTAAGGTAAGAATTAACAATTTAATAGGTTAGATGTCTTATCATGATTTCATTTGCTATTCTCATCATTTGAATAAATGTAAACCGTTAGTAATAGAAGCGCTTGTTCAAAAGAATTCATATATTGTTTATCAGTTGAACAAACATTGCTGAATAATTGTATAGAAAGAGGGAAACCGTTAGGAATGCTTCTGTTTTCTACTTCATTAAACATGATAAATGTATTTTAGACGAACGCCTCGACGTAAACTTGTCTTTTCCTCAAGTGATGATGAAATAGATAATAGTCCACAATCGATATCTTCAGGTAAGAATAGATAAATCATTCAAATTTTTCTATATTTCATTTCTTTTTCTTGTTTTTAAGTTCATGTCCTCCGGCAAGAACATCAAGATGAACAGTAAGTGTTCTCTTCATTCCTTTTTTTTCTTCTTGTTTTGTTTTTGATGTCCATGCATTCAAGTGGATTGTATGAATTTTAAACAATCTATCCCTATGATTCACGGGAGAATCGTTCTACTTGATTTATGACTGACAATTCGATGGCACTCAAGTGTAGGGAGAAGTTCGTTCAAGCGTTGACATTTTTTTTTCTAACGATTTTCTCCTGATGTAATTATCGACTAGTGTCAATTTTCATTAGACTTTTTCTTCCTCTTTCCCTTTTGTGTTTTTTCAAATGGATAGGTGCCACCCTGCTATTAGCAGATAGACAACAAAATGATAATCTTATTGTACATAACAGCGGTGAGCTAAGCCGATTTCTGGTTGTTATTTGTTTCTTGTCAACATATGAAACTGTTAAAGAAGAAAAAAACGAATATCTATTGTTTTTTTTCTTCTCTTATAGCTTGTCAATACGATCTGCACCAACAGATATACTTATAACAAGACCAACACGTTCAAAATTAGAACATTACGGTTTTAATAAACTTACAAGACCGGCATCATTACGTACTAATAAACGACAAACATTAGTTAAAGAAAATAAAATTAAAAAAATTCGTCCAAATGATAATATAACTCCTAATAAGTAGGTTCATTTCTCTTGTTGACAAGAAAATATATATATCTATCTATTATAAAATAGTAATAAACTATCTTGTCATCCAATGCAAACACGATCTCAATCTTCATCGGATTGTCATTCTGATCAATTGATAAAATTATTTGATAAAACTCTTTCAACAGTGACACCATATCAAGATGAAAATAATGAAATGAATTCGAATCGAAATCGTCAACGACGATTACGACCACTACCTCTTTGTTTATCTGATAATGAAAAAAATATGCCAGTTTTAACGGTTATTACAACAGAAGAAAATTTCAATACTAATGTATACAATCATTGTTTTTTTTTCAACAAACTGTTTTATAATAAGAATTATTTTTTAATCTAATAGAAACGTCTTCATGATGATGATGACAATGAAAACAGTGATATTCATCGATCAATAAAACGTAGTAAAATAATTGATGAAACGAATAAAGAAAATGAATTATTTATCAATCGTCCATCAATGGTTAAACGTTGTCGACGCGGAATTGAAGTACGTAATTTATTCTAGTATATATTCCTTTAAATTTTCTATATTTCTATCTTATAGTTAGTTCGAAGTTTAACTGAACCAAATGAAGAACAAATAAAAGCATCAGTTGAACTTGCTTCTAATCGAGATTTAATTGGTGATCGTTCAAATACACATCTTTTACCACAATGTAAAAGTCGAAAACATCCTGATCTTGCTTGTATTAGTCCTGAAACTGTATGTATATATATATTTGAAAGAGGAAATTTCTTTTTTTATCGAACATTTTGTTTTTTAATTTAGGTGATGAATGTTTTAAAAAATAAATATTCAAATGATATTGAAAATTTACATATTATTGATTGTCGTTATCCATATGAATATGAAGGTGGTCATATACAATTAGCAAAAAATCTTTATACACGTACACAAATTCATAATGAATTTTTTCGTAAACCAATTCAATTGAAAGATTCATCGAAAAGAAATATAATTATATTTCATTGTGAATTTTCATCGGAACGTGCACCATCACTGTATGCTGATTGTTTTCTTTTCTTTGAAAGAAATAATTGCTTTTTTTTTTCTATATTAGTTTAAGATATTTTCGATCAGAAGATCGAAGTGTACATGAAAAAACGTATCCGGAATTACATTATCCAGAAATTTATTTACTTGAAGGTGGTTATAAAGCATTTTATGAATATTCAAAAGTAAGAACAAAAAAATTTTTTTTTGTGAAAATATAATTTTTTTCGTTATAATTAGGAATTTTGCATTCCGGAACAATATCGAACAATGATTGATATTCATTATCAAGAACATTATCGAAAATATCGTTTTGAAACTAAACAATATGATAAATTTACAGGTACTAATGAAAGAACTGATGGTGGTGGTGGACGACGAACACGTATATCAACATTTCGTTCTTGTCTTTCATTTTCTTCTCAACCTATCCAATATCGTTCAACAAATATTCGATATGATCTTCGATATACTGGTTCTCCACCACAATATTAGAATTTTTTTTCTCTTTTATCCTATACATCATATTGATGAATTGATATCATAAAAAGATTTTTTTTTCTTCTTCTTCTTTTCCTTTCTCTCTCTTTCGTGTGTATATTTAAATACTCTATCTTGAGTATCTATATAATATGTTATGTTGAAATTGATTCTTTTTTTTTTGTTCTTTCTTCTTGTTGTCTTTTGTTCTTGCTCTTTGAATGGTAGTGAAGATTGATTGAGACTGTTTTTATGAATTGTTCTTTTTATGCTAGACTAGAGAAATAGTTCATTTTTTGTTTTCTTGCTTGTATACGAAAAAAAATCATAAACAAGGAAAATTGTTATACTTATATATTTTTTTTGTCTCTTGTTCTTATGTGCGTAATTTTATAGAAAAAACTTGACTAAAGAATATATATATAGAAATGTATTTGGAACTTCTTCTTCTTTTGCTTCTGTTATCATCGACAACAATGAAGTGATATTCAAATATTTGATAGTCAGTAATAATAATGTGATATTAATTTAGTCTTTGAGGTTTATTTGTGTTAATGAATCGAGAAAGTGTGGAAAACGATCATAAATAGCTTAACGCTTCCGTTTTATGTTCACAGCTGGTTGAATGTTTGTTACAGTAAAGCAGCTGTATGTCATATTTCTTTTTCGTTCGTTAAGGAAATGATATATGTTAAGGCACTGCAGGTGATCGGTAAAAATCATCTATTATTTTATTGGTGTTCACTTTGAATAGATCGTTGTCTATTTGACATTTGATTATGAATAAATAGATTGTTGCTTTATATTTATCCTATTAAGATTAAAAGTATCTGATCATTGATTTTGAGATGATGTTATCGGATGAAACGTTTGTTAATAATTGAAAGTTCAATAAATGATAGATGAAAAGTATTTTTTTTTAAAATTAAAATGACCCTACAAGAGTAAAGAATCAATCATGTAATAGATATATAGATCTACATGAAGTGTAAGGTTGAAATGGATAAATCCATCAGTTAACACTGGTATCTATCATCACGTATTAGCAGATATATATATATATAGTATATTTCTGTCTATAGTATGAAAACTAAGGCATAGAAGAAAAAATTTCTTACTAATAATGAAACTTATTATTCTTATTCCTGTAATTCTTAATTATGGATTTAGTTGTTATAGTCGTGATCTATATCCAAGCTATAATTTATTATATGATCCAGTAAAAGCTCTTGAATGGTCCGACGATCCTGCTCTTATGTATATAACAACAATACGATTATTTGACTATGAACATCATATATTTCAATATCGACGATATCCATGTCAATATTTTTATACTGATGAAATTAAATTAAATTATAATAATGATACAAAACATGAATGTTTATATAATACAACAACAAGTGATTATCAATACAGTTTTCAACTTCATCTTGATTCTCGTCATGTTGAACCATATATTCTACGTAATATAGCTATTCAATGTAAATACATCAATTGTAGTTTATCATTGTTAAATATAAAATATATACGTATTAATTGGAATTTGCAAGGTCGTACTAGTAATCTTAATTGTTCATTTGATACTACACAACATTATGGTATATATGACACACCGTATAAATTAACTGAATGGATTTCAATTCGATGTCAATCTTTATTTGCTTGTAATCGTTCAAAACATAATCTTGAACAAGTATTGTTATCGAATATTCATTTAATTTATGGTTCATCTTATGAACTTGAAACACCTTATTGTTCATTAGAAAAAAATCTTGCTCATATTATTGAAACAAATATGGCGCAAACAAATCGTTTACTTGAACAAGTAGTTAATTTACTTCAACGAGGTTTTGGTAAACCAAATGAACGTGATCAAATTCATATGAGAGAATATGTTGAACAGAAATGGATACAACACGAAAATAGTTCAACAACAACAAATAAAACATCTATATCTGGAGAAGTACATGGAGCTTTTAAACAAGTTATATAAACTTTTCATCTTATTTGAAAATAAAATAAATCTATCTATTACTTTTTTCTAATAAAATAAAATTCATATGAATATTAGTGACATCTACTAGTGTATTTGTTGATTTGATCGAGAACTATAAGTATATTTTTACTTTTAGAAGAATTAAGAAATAAGAAGTAGAAGTAGTGTTTTTAGTTCTTATCGATATAAATTTGTGTACTCATTGACACATTTAAGAATGGCTTCGTTAATTAAAAATCAGATTATAAAACGTTTATCAAAGTAAAAAACATAAATTTTCTAATTTATATAATTTTTCCTATATGTACTTAAAAAAAAAGGTTCGTGAAAAATCTCTCATCAAATCAAATCAATTTAAGTACATTGAAAGGTGAAGGCGAATTATCGTCAATTGATTTAGATGAACAAGCTTTGGAAGATGTTATTGAATTACCAACATGGCTTAAAATACAAAAAGCAACATGTGGCCGAGCTTTTATTAAAGTACCATAACGAAAGATAAAAACAAACTTTTCTTTTATTTAAATTTTTTTAGATTCCTTGGACAAGTTTAAAAACATCACCAATTCAATTAGTAAGAATATTGAAAAAAAATAAACTCGAAAATAAACAATTTTTTTTCTAGCAATTAGATGATGTAACTGTTGAAATTGAAACATGTGAACAGCTTCGAGATTTACATAATTTAAATGATGCAACGAATACAAATGATCCGTAAGATAATTTCTTGAATTATTGTAGTGATTAACTTTAATAAAAATAATGTAGTTTATTGGGTAAATATGGTTTTACTAATCGAGCCATTGATGGTATTTCACTAACAATTACAAATCTAACATTCGCTATCAAAGCTCAAGGCTTTAAAGCATCAATTTTTGTAATTAAAACTTTTATTACATTAGAAAAATTAATTTCCTGCTTTTTTTAGTTACCAAGTCTAGAAATTTATAGTATAACACCATATGGAAAACGAGTTGATACATTAAATTTAACTCGTCTTCGTAATTCAGCTAAAGATCATATACTTCTTTTTAAAGTAAAATTAAATATATATTAAAAACGAAAGTCAAATTCTTTTTTTTTTGACTTTTCTAAGGAAATTTCATGGCAAAATGCACGTATAGAAGCATCATCAAACGATAATAATACGACAGCTGCAGCTATACGTTTGATTGCTAATGCATGTCGAATAAGAATTTCAATGAAAAAGAATCTTCAAGGTAAGAGCATCTTTTTTTTTGTATTTAATAAAGTAGAACAAAAAAAAACAACGGATATTTTTTTCGTATGGATAGATAGTAGTATGGTAACATCTCGTGTTATGGTACATTTTGATGATCTTTTATCAGTTGTTAATGATGGGCAACTGAAATCTGCTTTGAATACGTATAAAGAAATTACACAATTAATGAAACGTGCATCAGAACAAAGAAAACGCAAAGCTGGAGATAAATTAACAGTATGTATTGATATAAATATAGATTTAATAGTAGCATAAATAGGAAATGAGAGAGAATAAATGCGATTAAATGTAATAGGGACACTTCAATTATTGATATATATTAATAGAACAAAAAATGAGATTTTTATGGTTGAATAAAGGGTTTATAATGGGAATAATCATGTGTAAACTTAGATATTGGTAACTTCATATTTATGATTTGATGTTGACAATAGAATATAATTAAATTTTTAATAATAAAAAGGATTATTTATTCTCATTACAATATTGATTAGTTCGTCTTGAACTTTTATATAAAAGATTAATATTGTAAGATGATTAAAAATATAAATAATAGATATATAGGAAAAAAAAAGCTTTTAAGTCAATAATAACAGGCGATAGAAGAAAAATTTTTTAAAGATAACAAAATCCAGAGATTTCTTCAATTTTTACATTCGTGTTACATATCATTAATTATATTTTTCTAAATTACTAGACTATTCATTATGCTACTATTGATTGATAGATTTTGATTATAGTTTTGATGGAATACCATCATTAGAATTAATGACTAACACAAGGGAACTTTACCAATTTTCCAATCCCTTTGGAATTTGGGCTTTGTGAAAAAGATAGGACCCTCTGTGGCCAAAATATCGCCATTGGATTTATAGATGTATATCATATTATAGACTGGAATAACAGTAAACTGCTAATAAATTGACATAGAAGGCCCAATGGGGTTCAATATTTTGCATAAAACTCAAATTCCAAAGGGATTGGACAACTGGCAATATTCTCTCGTGATGCATATGAAAAATGAAAATGATATTTTAATTATTTATTTTTGAGAAATAGAAATTATTGATATAATTTAGAAATTAGATCAACAACAAGCACCATCAACGTTCCAACCGAAAGCACCAACGACAGGTACTAATGATCCAATTAATTCGACGAATCCTTTAAATGGACAACAACAATCCAGTGATCCTTTTGAATATTATGATGTTGTTGAAACATCATTACATTTCAATGTTAAACGACTTGATTTACATATTATTGCTGATTCAGAAACACTCAGTATGTTAAATCGTTTTCTTTTTAATTTATTTAAAATTCTCTCTATTAACTTCTGAAAACTTTTCGTTTCTATCAGAATCTCGTCTTCGATTGATAAGTAAGATTAGTATATATATATAAACCTATTATTGTCTCAATATCCCTTAGTCTATTGTTATTACTTCGAAAATACAATTTAACTTTTCTTCTTTTAAAATTTTCTTTAGGTGAACCTCTAGCTGAAAGTGGCGCACTTCAAATGACTATTGCAAATCTTTCCATCGATCATTATCCTTATCATATGTCTGGTTCACCAAAAAAACATTGGATTAAATATAGTGAAATGTTAGCATTCAATCGAGATGAATGGATTAATCGATTACAAGAAGAATGGAATGAACAATTAAATTTAGCGAAAAGTAATGCACCTACTGATGAAATGTGTAAGTATAAATTTTATAATCATAGAATTTATATTTCTTTCTTTTTTTCTAAAGCCGCAAAACTAGAAAAAGCTCTACGAACAAATCGTATACGTTTATTTGAATCGTGTACTGTTTTAAATATTGATGATATTGTATTTTATCCTGTTTCATTAAATAAAAATAATAAAGATCAAAAACGTCGTCGACCATTAATTACATCAGATCGAACACATTATCAATTACCAGAATTTCTAGGTGTTATTAATGTTCAACATACAGAATATTATTATCCATTACCTTATTCATTTCCTGGTAAATTATGATAATAATAGTTTCTTGTCTGTTTAGTTTATTTTCGCTTCTCTAGTACCAAATAGTGATTTATATATTCAAATAATGCCTGTTGTTGTACGTGTTGATTTTGCTACATCAAGTTGGCTTGATGCTTTTGTTTCATCATTATCGATGACTATTGTAATATAAATTATTTTTTTCTCTTTCTGAAAATTGAAATTACTTTTTTTAATTTTAATAGGATAACTCTGGTGTATTAAAAACAGATAAACCAATTGTTGATCTTGAACATGTAGCAATTAAATTTGAGGCTATGTTACCACGAGTATAGAAACAAATATTTTTATTTCTTATGTTAATTTATATGTGTTTAGATTGTTGTTAGTTCAGATATGTTTTCTGGTGCTTATGAATTAGAAGAAGCTAAACATATAGATAATCCTGAGCCAGATATATTAGAACGTAAAGAAGTATCGAATGAAAAAAAACTTGAAATACTTGAATTAAATGTTTCAAAATTATTAATTACAAATTGTCGAACAGAAATAACAAGTAGTAAAAATAAACTTGAACAACATATTGAATCATTTAAAAATACAAATTTTTTTCATCAAAATCAATGGCCATTAACAAATAATCCATCCAATACATCACGTATTAGTCCATTATTTGAAAAACATCCATATGAAACATATTTATATGATAATCCATTAGCACAAAAATATGGAAATAAATTATCAGAACCACAAACAGCTAATGCAGCACTTCATTCATATTATACAATGACAACTGATTCATTAAAAAAGGTTAGATAAAATTGATAATTTAATGAAATTTTTAAGAAATATAATTTTTGTTAAATAGTCTGCAAAATATGATATATGGCATTTTAATGTTGAAAGTATTTATATGGATTATATACCATCATCACCATCGGAATCAATTCGATTAGCAAAACAAAGTATGACAGATACATTTTCATTATCAGGTTGGGCAGTTATTGATGAAAAACAAAATGGTAATATTATTATATTTTTTTAAAATTGCTAAAAAGAATCAAAATTTTCTTTTTCATAGCGGATTCTAAACCATCACCATGGGCAAATATTTTGAATATTATTGAAACACCATCAGTATTAAAAATATCTCAAAAACAATATACATTCCTTATGCATTTAGTCGATGAACTTGGTTTATTTCTTGATGTACTTGATCGAAATAAAGCTCAAAGTCGTTTAATAAAACAAAAATTAGAACAAAAATCATCACAATTAGTAAACAATTCTATTTCTAATGATCTCAAATTAACTATATGTTTATTATCACCAACAACATTTACACTTGCTATTATTGATGGTCTTGAAGATGCTATGATTAATCATGCTATGCCACCACCTTCATCTGTTTTACCTGACGTAGACACTGAACCTGTTATGCGTGATACATCTGATTCAAATATTGTTGTTGATTTATTAACAACACCAGCAACAATTGTTGCTAGTACAGCTAAAATTGAACCACCACCATCGCCAGCAATTACTATTATTGAAGATAATCAGAGTAATCCAATGGAAAATTTAAATAAAGGTTTTAATTTATTAGCACAAAAAAA